TCTATCTTTTAAGGATGATTTATATAAATTTAAATGCAGTTTTTGTGGAGAAATATTAAGGGTGGCACCAAACGTGAAGAAACTATATCTTCTTCTAAGAGCATCAGATGGGAAATCTGTTACTCAGAGATTTAACGACGAGGTTTGTCTCCACATACTTAGGCTTTGAATTATACTATACCTAAAGTTTTATATACACAGGAGTTTTTAGTTAAAACATAAGTATTTTCCTCGTTTACAGTATACCTAAAGTTTTATTTACCAAATTAAGAAATTACTTATATTTTAACTAAAAACTCATGTGTATATTAAATTCATAAAATTATATGTTTCTAAGTTTTTAATAATATTTAGATATATATTTCGAAAGCTCATACGGACGATAGATAGTCGATTGATGCTAATAGAAGTCTGATAACTTTTGAGGTGTTTAATTAAAATGTATACAGATTTTGGGGAAGGTAGTGAAGGAGAAGTATAGTCCTAAGCTACATCATCTTATAACAGAGAAACTCACTATCGTCCAAGGAGACATTTGCCTTGATGATTTGGGTCTTCAAAACTCCGACTTGACACATGAGATGGTCCAAGAACTTGATGCCATTGTTAATTTATCTGAAACTACTAAGTTTGATGAAAGGTATACTGATTTATAAAACTACTATATATGAACCGAATTTTAATTATCACTTACAATACAAAAAAAAACTAATGTAATGACTGAATTTGGATCGGTAAAAATATTTACCCAGCCCCTTAGCAATACATTTTGATTTCTTGTAACATCAATATGTTATCAATCCATGCTAAACCAAACATACTGGCGACATCAATTATAGACCGACATATTTTTCTAGTTATGAACTTATGATTGATTGATATGTTTTATGTTTATACTGTAAGGCTAAAGACATGTTAATTAACCGCAGATACGATGTCGCACTTGGGATCAACACATTCGGTGCTCTTAATGTCTTGAACTTTGCCAAGAGATGTGCAAAGGTTAAGGTCTTTGTTCATGTATCGACAGGTATTACAAAACTATGCTCTCAAAAGACTGCGAAATAACTAAAAGTGTTATTTGAGAAAAAAAGATTAAGATGAAAGTATATCTATAAAAAAAAAAACTCGTAAAATAATATATCTAATTTAAAAGTGTCTTTCCAAAAAAATGAATGCTTCAATTTTGGAAACAATTAATTCAAAAGATGTGGGAAAATGTTATTAAAACCTCTCTTTTAATTTATTGCTACAATTGTAAAGTATTTCCTCCGTTTTTTAAATAATGATGTTTTGGGTTTTGCACATATATTAGAAAAAAAAATTCAACAACTTTTAACAAAATTTGTCACTTTTTTTAAGATAATTAAATCATATTAGAATCAATGAAATTCATTTATAAAGGAAAATACATTAATTAAAAGGTAAAACATCAATTTTTTAGAAACAAAAATAAAGCTCAAAACATCATTCTTAAAAAAATAGAGGGAGTATTTTTGTTCTCGGCACTAACAAAGATTTCATCATTAAATACCACCAACTAACCAAATTGGTATAATACTATAGCTTACGTGTGCGGAAGAAAATCTGGTTTAATAATGGAGACACCATACTATATGGGTGAGACATTGAACTGAACCATCGGTCTAGACACTGACAATGAGAAGAAATTGGTTCAAGAGAAACTTGACCAGCTTCGAGCCGCTGAAGCTCCTCCTAAAACCATCACACAAGCCATGGAGGATCTCGGACTGGCGAGGTTCTAATCCCTACTTATATATACATATATTTTGTTTTTTTTTCTTTGCAAATAAAGATGTCAATTAGTATTAACTTTGAAGTGAGAATGATTAAGATTAAATATTAATGATAGGGCAAAGATGCACGGATGGCCAAACACATACGTTTTCACAAAAGCAATGGGGAAATGATGGTAGGGGTTACTTTTTCAAAAAAAAAAAAATGATGGTAGGGGTTAACAGAGAAAATATATCACTTGTATTAATTCGTCCTTCAATTATTAGTTGCACATTCATTCAGGTTATAGCATCTCCAATGCATAGAGATTCTTAGAGTTATTTAAATATATTATTTAAATGATTTTAGTTATTTCTTTAATTTTTAAATTGTTAAAAAAACATTAAACCAATCAAATAAGAACACATCTTAAATGAGCTTCTCCAAAAAGTGAGAGGAGTTTCTTCATCTAGAAACCCATTTCATTATCGTTCTATTATTTTATTATTATTTTTGATAAAAAATCTTCTTGCAAACCCTCTATTGGAAGTGCTCTTAGATTATTAAATATTCTTTCCATTTCATAATTGTTTTATGACATAATTTTTGTTTCGCAAACAATGTTTTTCAATATATAATTTGAATCAAAATTTTAGTTTTGTATATAGTACTTTAATTTTATAATTAAACAATTATTTAGTGTATTAATAAAGTGTATACTAGGTATTACATTACTTTTTCTTTCCTATATATGTGTAGAAAATTTCTAAAATAATATTCCCTAAG